CTCGTCTTCAACAACCGTGGTAGCAGTTGCTGCAGAAGAATTTTCTTCGGAGTTCTCGTCTTGCGATGGCGATTTCGTTGACGGTGGAGATGGCTGTTTCGAGGAGACCGGCTTCGCTGCAGAACTCTTACCATGGACATCACTTTTGTCAACAACGTCAGTGTCAACGTTAACTGCGGAAGAATCTAAAACCTCGGCAAATTGTGGCGTAGATGAAGCCAACGGAGTGACTGAGGCTTCTTCCACGGTCTCCGCCACATCTTCTGGTTCGATTGTAGTAGGGCTCGTTACTGTGGCTTCCTCGGCTGTTAGCGTGGTCTTGTCTTTAGAATCTGGCTCGAGGGGACTTTCGGAAGTGGCCTCTGTTGGAGTGTCTTTGCTCGAATCCCTTGGAATAGACTCCGTTGTAGATGAGGTGTTAGAAAGCCTCAGAATCTCCCTCTCAGCTTTGAATTCCTCTAGCTTTTTCCTCAGACGTGCTACGAGCCCTTTCCACCTTTCCGGCAAATCTTTCCGAGATTGTATGAGTTCCACTTTTTCGAGTAGAGTCTCCGGAGATGTCGTGGTCGACTCGGATCGTGGTGCTTCGTCATGAACATCTGTTATGTGGCTGGGACCGCCTTCCTCGTCCACAGACTCACCTAAACAAGTACTATAATAGTAATTTGAGATCAGAAAGGAGTGTGTATTAAAATATGAATTGAAAATGCTGAAATTATTAACCGATCTCATCTGTGGACAGCAGTTCAGTCACAAAGCTGGCTTGTGTGCTAGAATTTTCGTCCAGCTCGGTTTCTTCCGGCTGCGATGAGGTCGATGAGATTGCTTGGTCGCTAGTTACAGCTACTGTAGTCACTGAGCTTTCATGTGGTGTAATATCAGTAGAAGCTGTCGTCTCCATTCCGGTAGCGAGAGGTGCTGAAGTGGATGCAGCCTCAGTAACCAATTCCGTACTGGGCTGTGAACTTGATTCTTTGGTTGTAACGACGGGCGACGTTGAGGGGGAATGCGTTGGCACGCTTGTTGTTGAAGTAGCCGTGGACATAAGCGATGAGTGAGAAGTCTCCGGAACCTCTGAAATTGTAGTCCTCACTGGGGGATACGGCAAAATGGTTGTGGTCGTGGTAACAGTGGTACTCGTAGAATTTGTAGTTAAAGGCGTTGATGTTGCTGGAGGCGAACTGGTTGTCGTGCTAGAACTGGCGATGTTTGTTGAAGGCGGGTCAGTAGGTAGAGTAGGTAAGGTGGTAGTAGTGCTAGTAGAGACTGTTGTGGTTTCAGTAGATGTGGTTGTTGTTGCTGAAGCAGTTGAAGAAGTGGTAGCGGTAGAGACTGTTGGCGGTGATGAAATGCTGGTGCTTCCAGACGTCGTTGTGACGGTGGAATCTGGAACTTCAGTGGAGTTTTCGGAGTAGCCTGTCACATCCGGTAAAATTTTTTCTGTAGTGGAATCGATTTCCTCGCTAATTCCTGTAGAGGCAGCGACTTCGCTTCCATGGTCTGTTGTAAGATTATCTGTCGTTGCCGTCTCAGTAGTGACCATCTCCTTCGTTACTGTATGCTCTACAGTAACCTCAGCGTCAGTTGTAGGAATGTCACTTGTTGCAGCTTTTTCTTTCTCGGGCATCGTTGCGAGCGTTGATGTCGTGGATGTCGTTTGTACCAGATTATCCTTCTTTTCGATCTCTGCTGTGGCGTCTATAGAGTCCAACAACTCGAGAACCGATGTTGAAGAGTTGTACCGTTCTTCTGAAGTTGGAGAAGCAGTCATGTTTGAGTCATTTGAAGGAAACGCTGATGTCTCTGATGTCGGCGGTAGGCTTGCGGAAGATGTTGCTGGCTGAGTACTTGTAGATGTGGGTTCTGTCGAAGTTGTTGATGTCGAAGTGTCGAGCACCTTGCCTTTCTCTTCAGCGGGTCCATCAGTAGCCGTTGTTGTTTCTGCGACCGGTGTTGTCCCTTTTTGTGTTGTTGTGCTTTGTTCCGGAGTACTACTGATCTCAGCACCGTTGGCCGACAGTGTCGTGGCTCGGACGAGCTCCTGAGTTAAAGTCATTTGCAGTTTCTGTTGTTCTTTTCCAGCGTTTTCGTCGGCGAGTGTTTCTTTTGTAGCGCCAATGACTGGCTGATTACCGAATAGATCCATCTTTTCCGGAAGGCAACGACATTGACAAAGGCAGGTGTTGTGCTTGATCTGCTTTGCGATTCGGAATTCTGGAAAAGAATTCATCAAGAAATTGCCGTTGAATCCCTGAACATGTGAACCTACCTCGACTTCCATCAGCGTTTATCGTCTTGCTCAGTAGACTACTAGCACTGGTTAAATGCAAGCACAGAACTAGTAAGGCCCACCCAAATAACCCCATTGGCCTGAAATAAAAGAAAATGGTTTTTGGAGTTTTTTCCAACTGTTAGAGGCCACTTCTGATGAAAAATCACTTTCGGTTTGTCGTGTCAGTAAACGAGGAAACTGGGACAATTGTCAATGATTCTCAGTCTATAAAACATAAAACACGAAAAAGTTTGTATTAGCGTAGGTGACGCTCATGTACCGTATCTATGTAAGAATTCCAAATCCTTCGCGATTCAGAGCAAAAATTTTTTCAGTTCGAACTCTGAAAAATGGAAATTCAAAAATCTGTAGAAGCCCCACTCAGTACCAACTTTATTTCGGAGCAGATTGTAGAGTATGAAGATATATTTCGTCTCATTCGGAGAAGACAGCGATGAAAAACGATAAAAGACCTTGAGCTACAGTAAAAGTTACGCAAGAATGTTGTGGGCGACTTGAACAAGCCGGCTTTGGAACGCTTTGTCGAGAACGTTCTTCGACTCGAGAATGTTCTTCGACCCGGCAATGTCCCCTGTGCTGTCCTTGGAGGCCACTATGGATTCATAATGAGAAATATGCTGGGATCATCTTTATCGTGGACTGCGACTTTAAATCTGACCAGCGCATGGCGTGCTATAATCATCCACTGAAAT